CCCCTGGTGTACTCAGGGGAAGAGATAGAAGATACAATACGATTCCTAGAGGCAATCGAAGAACGGTAATTGAAAGGTCATGGACGTAATAAAGTTTACGTGAATAAAGTTTTATGCAGGAGTACAGCTTTAAATTGGGAACTTTAAATTAGTTTAGTGATCAGCATCTTCGCACGCACATGCCGAAAGTGAATAGAAGATCTGCGGAAACTTCTCGGTGTTAATGGGTAGCTCCTGGTAGGCTAGGCACCGGAAGGTTCGGCAGCCCAGTTGAAGGGAAACCAGGAGCACATGGAAAAACCCCTTGAACCTGGGGGGGGGAGGGTAAGCAGGTGAGAGGCCAGCCAAAAGATTCTCCTTGGTTCTGCGAAACCAATTGGTTCAGCAGAACCAACCGGAGACGGCCGGCTCTCGCCGCTACCGCAAACAAACATGATCTGACTTCTCGTAAGATATGTTTCGGGCATTTAGATTCCATCGGAATCAGATGACTCCAAGGATGGAATCCTTGAGTCAAGTCCTCAGGAGCAACACCACCGCGCTTCGCTCCGCTTCGCTAAAAATACCAATTTTACGAGCGGAGCGGTCTGGCGCTATGATAAGAGGCCAGATCGCTACGCTATAATTTCGCGGTCGCTATGATGTTCTAGAGCGGTGCGACATTTTATGTTGCTCCGCTTCGCTCTGTTTTTTTTTTGGTCAGATAGCGCCATAAGTTGGTGACTTTAAGAACAACCAGTGTAGTGACCTTTATCTCACTCTTTAATTTGTTACTTAAAAAGGATTAAAGGAAGGACTTTTGGATCCATCCTTCAATAATTATAACATTCATTTATTATAATTATAAACCTCCTTTTTAGAAGTCACTTAACTGTAGTCTGTCTGGATTTATCCAAACAGACCAGCCCTGTTCCTTTTCCTCTTCTTTTTCTATATTTCTAGTTGTAATTACATTATATTTGAAATATAAATTTAATTATTAAAATCACTAAGACCCTTCTTAGCCCAATTAGTGAGCCTTGAGTCCTTATCTGAGCACCCAACCCTCACACCCCAAGAGTTCCTTTCGCCCAACCGCTCGACACTGCGTGTTTGCCGTCAACCGATGCTGTTGCCCTTGCCGCCTCAAAGTGTTTTGGGAGGTGTGTCGCGGCGGCTGGTCCTCCCTCTTGTCTCCTGTTGGGCATTATTCAAGGTTATCAGGGCGCGGGAGGTTCCTGGTACAAGTCTTTTGGGTATGATGGATTTAGACGCGAACGGGGAACTCTCAGGGCAGTGTTTCTCTTTTATTCTTGGATTACAAATGGGACCAGATCGGATGGAACTCTAACTAATACAACTTTTAATACATGTTTAGATGAGTCGAATCCTCTCGACAGCAGATCTGCTGTGTTGTCCTCCGACTTTACTCTCTTCTGTCTGATACAACCGTTCATGCGGAACATTTCATCCTGTATCTTGATCCATTCCCTGTTTACCCACCTATTTTTCGACTTCCCATTCCTTATCGCACCCTCTGTTACGACATTGTCCGTCAAGCATAAAAACTCTTTACCCTTCACTGACATCAGCGAGGACACCATCAATAAGCCTAAGTGTACCGCGACGGTCTCCGCCCACGCAATGTCTCGCGCGGACCCGTCCTCCTTGTGTGAGTCAATATCCCAACCTTCATGCAGCTTAAATCTGGCCCATTGTTTACCTACGATTATTCCAATACCGTAGCTTGTCAATGCATCCCCCACCCAGCCAATGTTCACCACCTCGGGCCAGGGGATCATTCTCCTCGGGTCTGCCGTTCGCAGGACTCTATGCCATATCGCCATGTCTTCTACTACCTCTTCCGGCATGTCTCGCGCTGCGAACCGATGTACCCATTCCGACATCCACCGGTACAATGCCATGCAATGGCACTCAAGTTGAGGATACACCAGCAAAGCGTGCATCAGGCGGCCGACCATCTTCTCTGTCTCTTTGTACGTCGCTTTCCTCCCTTCTACAAATTCCTTTATCTGCTCCAGTCTCATCTTTATTTTCTCATCAGGGATCCTGGCTGTCTTTTCTTTCCCATCCCATATCAGGCCTAAGTACTTCTGCACATGATTAAATTCGCTCCACTTCTTTTCGTTCGTTACCACTCCCATGCGTTCACTGGCTTCGGCCACATCCTTCATCGAGGCTCTGTTCAATCCATCATCTGCTTTGATGAAAAGAGTGTCGTCCACCCACCTGAAGCCTGCCTCGAATTTAAACTTCGACATCATCACCAACTTCCATGTGTCCGCCGCCTGCCCGCACTGCCCGCATATTAACCTCGGATTGGGAAATCTGAGGCGTTCTTGGATCTGAAACCTCGGACAGAAGCTATCCGAGGGTTTCGATCCCGAGGGTAATTTTGGGGCGCATAATGATACCCTCGGGACAGAAAACCTCGGATAAGATCTGTCCGAGGATTTGCATCCGACGATACCTCGGATCTCCCGATCCGAGGCATCTATGTTGGTGGTGCCAAATGTGCCACATCTGGCCACTCCTCCAAATGTCACCCGAGTATCTAGCAGTATATTGCCGTCTAGGTCGAGAACCATCAGGTGTGGTCACTGCAATTGCTTTGTAGGGATCTGGCGATACACCTTCGCCCAGTCGAAGATACCCAGCAGCAATGTACCTTTGCTGTTGATTGTGAACTTCGCCACCCTCGCAAAGTCGTCCCACGACATTTTAAAATTGTCCTTGTCTACCAAGGCATTCACCGAGTTGATGTAGGTATCTCGACGTGGGAACAAGAGATTGTTAATAGGTCTCACCGACCCGTCCCCGTTCACTACCGCACCCAAAGGATTAGTGCAAAAGAACCCCAGTCTCTGAAACACTTCTTCCTTCGAGAATGGGCCAAACATTTGACCAGCTTTCAATTCGTTCGTTAAGTTCTCTCTTACTTCCTTCTCCGCTTCTTTGACTGACTTGTGGTTATTTGGGCAGAAATATCTTAACCCGTGTATTGGTCTCTCCGGTATACCCTGGTCAAAACCGTTCTTGAACCCCTCCAAGATGTAAGCATGTGATTCCATCAGGTCCGCGTTTCTTAGTTCCCTTCGCCACACCTCCAGCTGCATCTCACAAGTCACACCTCTAGGCCACTTCGTCAGGTTTGGTCTTATCTCTATGTGTTTGACGTGTTGTTCTTTACAATTTAGAGGTAGACGCAGCTCACAAATTGGCAGGGGGGAACGGGGGAGGTCTGGAGAGCTACGGAAAATTCAGCAGATCAAGGCAATAGTCAGGACCCTGTACTTTTTGAAAAAACCTCTCCTTTGTACTTGGTATGTACGGATGGGTGCGAATCATAATACATTTCAGACTGATTGGACTGCCACTCCTATGGACTTAAGACAACATACTCACTAGTATCTCGA